ATCGGTGAACGAAACTGCGGCAGCTACAACCACTGTACGACGAGTACGCGGTTATGACAGCTGACAATGATGATGGTGATGACCGAAAGCCCAATATTTTACACCATACCAACATCAAGGTACTCCAAACTTTCACGCCCCCGTCGCCTACACCCAGACAAAGTGAAAATTGTACAGCACGAATTCCAAAGCATGCTATGACTGGGAATCATCTGTCCATATGAAAGTATGTGGACTTCTCCACTCCATAAGGTCCCCAAAAAGACTCCAACCGATTGGAGGCCATGTGGCGATTATCGTGGATTAAACAACCCAACGGTTTCAGAACGTTATCCCATCCATGACTTGTCTGCAAACTTATCCGGTTGCACAATATTTTCTCATATCGATATCCTTCGTGCTTATCACCACATTCCCATTCATCATGGTGATGTTCCAAACATCGATTACCACGCCATTTGGTATATTTGAATTCGTGCGCATGCCTTTTGGTTTACGAAATGCTGTTCAAGCCTTTCAACGCTTCACAGACCAAGCATTATCTGATTTACCGGGTGATATCTTGATTACCAGTACTAGCGGTGATCAACACATTGAACATTTACATCTCTTATTCACTCGACTACAAGATCCAGTTGTTATTAACGCTCAAGAGTGCGTTTTTGGTTCATCTTCGTTAATCTTCATTGGCAATACAATTGATCAAGGTGGTATATCACCTGTCTCTGAAAAATTAGACGCCATTCGCAACCTTCCCTTGCCTATACCCGCATGCCAGAAGACCGTCTGCCTCACAGAGCTTTATCTCAGCCTCGTGCTGAGTGGAAGCGACCGACAGGTGGACAGCGTATGCCTGGCAACGAAGTACGAAAACACTAACCAGTAAACTTAGTCAGGTGGGCAACTGCCACCGCCTTGGATTGGGACCCCGGGACTCAAATCATCCATGGATGAAATTGGTAGAAATGGCCCACTCGCAACGGGGCAACTAATCTCTCAAAGCTTCATATGGCCGAATATGAACAGAGACATTCGTTCATTAATAAAAGCTTGTTTCGCATGTCGGCGTTCAAAAATCGTTCGGCATACCCACTCACCCGTTGGCACCTTATCTTAACCAGACTGCCAATTCGACCGCGTTCACCTAGACACAGTCAGTCCACCGCCAATAGCTAACAGTTTCTCCCATCATCTCATGTGTGTCTATGGTCACAAGCCCCATTTGTGTATTTCTGCCGAAACTATCGCTCAGGCACTCACAAATGGTTGGATTACCAATTTGGGGATC